ACTGTCCGAGATTTCTTAGCTTGGGAAAGTTGGAGTCTGGTTTTCAGCTCAAGAAAATCCGGCATTCTGAACCCTGCTAAACCCCTACCACTGGCGGAGGTCTTAAAAGATGGGGAAGAAGAAGCATAAGCGACCGGAATCGAAGTCGGAGGCACTTGACGGAGGCGATATCGAGGCTCGACATGAAACTGAGCTCATTAATGGATGCTCTCCTGAGACGACGAAGAAGAAGAAGAAGAGGAAGAAGCAGAATGTTGAGAATGAGGAAATCGAGAGGGAGAAGAGGAAACCGATTTCAAAACCTACAGTGAGCATGGCAGTATCCGGTTCCATCATTGACAACGCTCAATCCCTTGAGCTTGCCACCAGAGTACGCTTTTTCTCTTTTATGAGCGACTGTTATTCGAGTTCATCCCCCTTTCCCATGTCCCTTGGAGGATGATATTTGTTATGCCTTCTCTTTGAATGTTTTGATTAGTTCTCTTTTCTCTACGCATCTCCACTACTGAAATGGATTGATGTGATTAATTATGAAACAACTTATGAACTTCTTTCCAGTTGGCTGGTCAAATCGCTCGAGCGGCAACCATATTCCGAATGGACGAGGTCTCCATCTTTTACATTTGTTTCATCCTCTTCATTGCTTCAAATTTTCTAGGACAGTTATTGGCATCATCACTGGAATTGTTCAACTCAGGAAGATAGTTTTTGTATGTATCAGGTGGTGGTATTTGACAGTGGAAGGAGTTCAATGACTGGCTCGGATATTGCGGCAGCTAACAATTCAGATGAGGATGAAAGTGGCGCTGCTTTTCTTATAAGGATCTTGAAGTATCTTGAAACTCCACAATACTTGAGAAAAGCTCTTTTCCCAAAGCACAACAATTTAAGATTTGTGGTCCGGCCTTAAATTGCTTGGTTGCTATAATCAAAGAAGAAATATGTTCTGTTTTTCTTCTGACCTTTTTATTGTGAATTTGTTATAGGGGATGTTGCCCCCGCTTGATGCCCCTCACCATTTGCGCAAGCATGAATGGGGTCCCTATCGAGAAGGTAAATTTCAAAATCTCCGTATGGGTTTTCTACAAAATTTGCATCTGAATCTTTGTCCTGCATGTGAGGATATTATTCCTTTTCTTGTTCCAAGCACACCTTCGAAATTATAGCTTTTTGTTTGCATTAATCACGAGGATCATCGTCTTACTTTTGAACTTTGGGCTAAACAACAATTCCTGGAGATTGATTTTTCTCAATGTATGAGCTTCTCTTTACCGCTTCTCCGAATCTATAAAGATATTGCTAGTGATTATGTTCATCTTCAGTCTGATAATTTCTTTAATGCTTGAGTAACATGGTTTGGAGAAGTTTTCCATTCCACATTTGCCACTGTCGCTTGAAAAATTCAAGTTTCTTCTATTCATTTTGGAAGACTCTTGAAGATGAGTCTAGGACTGGGACTATATAATTACATGCATATCTATCTGGCTATATCTTTGGATGACTTTGATTTATTATGTTGCCATCCTCGGCTACTGCCTTTTTTTTTCACTTTTCATTTTGGACTTCATTTTGCATGTTAAAATTAGGTGTTACCTTGAAAGAAAGAGCTCCAGATGCTAGAGGAACATTAGTTGATGTTGGTTTGAGTAAGGTAAAGCCTAATTTTCTCAAGTATCTATAATGGAAACACAAATTTTTTCCTACATTGAGCTTGAGCTATGCTACCTGTTGGTTTTTAGATGAATTGGAAAGTGTACGCCAATTCAATTTCTCTTTGATTTTTTGAAGTTAAATGCTTCCAACAACCATATTTTACTTAACTGGGTGTAGTTTTTTGGGTTAATAATTTGATTTTAAATTGTGCAGAACGTGGTAGTTGATGAAATACTTGAACCCGGAAGAAGAGTAACAGTTGCTATGGGAACAGATCGCAATTTACTTGCTGGTAACGTCTGATGCATTTTTTAGTACATATTTGAATAAAATATACAAACGTACAAATTGACAGTTGTTTTAGTTCCTGCTAGTCTATAGTAGATGCCATGATTAGTATTGGTCTAAGCTCACCGCTAATAGATATGGTCCTCTTTGGGTTTTCCCTTTTGAGCTTCCCCTCAAGGTTTTTAAAACACGCCTGCTAGGGAGAGGTTTCCACACCCTTATAAAGGATGCTTCGTTCTTCTCCCTAACTGATGTGGGATCTCACATTTTAAGTCTACAACACTTATTGATGTCTACAAGTGTTATTAAAAAATTGGTAAAAAGTGAAACACAAAAAATTAGAGCTTTATAACTTAGCTGCAATGAAAATACATTGTTAGACTATATCTAATTAATTGTTTTCTAAAAAACCAATAAACTAGTGACTGCTAGCTAAGCTCGTTCAGCTGTCATCTGCCACAATCCTAGTTCAGTCTCCACTTTCATGGGCACTTAATTGTCGAAATACATGTGTTAGTCATGTCAATGCAAGTTTGTCATAAATGGAAAATGAGTATTTGCTCATGGATTTCAAAATCTTAACTTCGTTTGTCCAGATCTACCCCGCCAGGTTGTCTCATCCTCAAAGCCTGTGGAAGAAGAACTTTACTGGGGTTATAGAGTGCGATATGCTTCTTCTTTGAGTGCAGTTTTTAAGGAGAGTTCATACGAGGTATATGCTTATAACTTTTCGTGAATCTTCTAAAAATTAATATCATTTTCTTCACATTTTATTGCTGTTTTGTTGCAAGGGTGGTTATGATCACTTGATTGGAACCTCAGAGCATGGAACAATAATTAAGTCCTCGGAACTAATACTACCTTCTTTCAGGTATTTTGCTTAAGTCCACCGCCATGTTACCTGGATAGTTCGGTTTCAAACTGATACCTTTAGCACATGTTGCTCGTTGATTTCTTGTTACCCTTATGCTAATTAGTTGTGTTTAAATATAAAAATGAAATGGTTGTTTTTCTTTTTGTTCCATTTTTCTCGTCATTTACAATGTCATATAACAGAAGTTAGCATCTTTAATGTCTTTGAACTATATTCAGTGGGTTGAACTCAAATCTTGAGAATTTTTACCATAGCTGTACGAATACCCCTTTCATCATAGCCACCAAACTTACAGAAGCATATGCTGGCTTTATTAACATTATAGTTTGTAATGGAAAAATGTGTCTAAGAGGGGCTTTTAAAGAACAGTATTAAAGGCATCTTGCCAATTAAATGTATGGCGAGCCTCTGTTTTATGCATTTTCAACAGACGATGTAAAAAGGTTCCATTTTTTTAAAGAACTTATATACATTTTCTCACATGAACAATTCTATGTCCGAGCCAGATTGTTTCAATTGACAAGCATCTTTTCTGGCGTCTCTCTTCCCTTTTTTTTTTTTTTTTGTTGGTGTTTCTGCCTTTTGAGTTGACTAATTGTTAATCATTGGCAGACATCTTTTAATCGCCTTTGGTGGACTTGCCGGTTTGGAGGAGAGCATTGAGGAAGATAACAACTTCAAGGTGTTCATCTTAATAACTTCAGGGACATAGTACCATAGGCTAATCTTCCAATGAAATGATAGTTCTTAAAAGCACTCATTTAGTAATCTTTAAAGCATTTGATAGTTATAAAATGAAAACTAAATAAAAATTATGTTTCTTTCTTTGGATTACTTAAGTAAATAGTTAATGCTAACATGTCGTGATTGTTTCGATCGGTTAGAGTAAAAATGCTTGTGAGATCTTTTCTTCATACTTGAATACATGTCCACTGCAAGGAAGCCGAACAATTCGAACAGAGGTACTCCACCATTATCATCTCCTCTATTTTCTTTTTCATCCCTGCATATTCTCTGATCTAAGCTTGCTTGGTCTTTAGGAAGCAATACTCATCTCTCTCCAGTATTTCCAAGAACCGATAAGCAGGGCATTGCAGATTTCAGCAGATTAGATTTGATTGTTAGAAGCTTCAAAATCCAAGATCCTGTCAATGTGCTCGCATGGAGCCGCTTTCCCACATGGCTTGAACTTGGCAGCTGATTCAGTTGTGCTCACAAAAGGGTTTAAAGATACGTCCGTCCCTTCTATGTTGTAACTTTAACTGTCCTCAAATTTGGACGCTTTAATTCATATATATGTTTTGTTTACTTCTAGGCCTTCAGAATATGGACAAAGTTTACTGAATTAACATTTTATAATTCATATATATGTTTTGTTTTGAACTTCTACGCTTTAATATTCATATAAAAGTTATGATCATTTTATAATTCTCAACTGATTATATGTTATTTACTTTAAAAGTTTACTGAATTAACATAATATATTCATATCAGGTATTTTGATCGACATGGAATATATTTGCATTTAAATGTAATTCCGAAAATGAGAAATTAAATCCAAATAATTTGCAAGTATATATATAATAAAGGAAATAAATTAATAAAATCAATTTGCATTGAATTTGGAGAGATACGCGAAAGGGATAAAAATGGTACTATATAATAAATGAAATCTAATTATTTAAATATTCAAATGTTTGGACATTTTTTAAAATTAAGATTGTGAAATGGTCACTTCAACTAATTATTACTAAATTTTATTATAATTTCTTATAACCATTTTCTACTTAATTTCCTGTCTTTAAAAAAGTTTCTAACTTTAGTAATTTATTTATTAATTTTTTAAATGATTTAAATGAAAGCAATTCAACCTGAGGGATAAAATTAATACTTGATTAAATTAAAAGTTTACTCACTGAATTGGATTAATTCATTAAAAAAGGAGTTCGAACATCTAATTTAGGAGTTAGGTCCCTTTGATCTTATCTATAACTTTGTTCTTTGGCTCCCTACAACTCTACCCACTCACTATAATAGCTTGCTTTTCGAGTGACTCGCACTTCAAGTAGCGTGGTTGAGCCAAAGTGAGTTCAATAGTCAACCTATGTTATCGAAACTTTTAAAAGATTTTAATGACAGTAAAAAGGCATACCATGCTATAAACAAGTACGATCAAGAATAAATATTACCTCCTACAACTGCAGACATCTACTATTACCATTCTGCTCCATAGAAATTTCATCGACGATACAGTTGATCAACGTTGAACGAGATTCAATACTCAAAACAAACTAAAATTCTGAAACTAAAACAACACATGCCTCTCTTCAAATACTAAAGCCTAAGAGACAAATCTTGCAACTAGCCTAAATCAAAGAGGGTCATAAATACAGAAAACTCTAGTTCTCTTCATTCACTTCAAGGTTCTTTAATTTTGATCCCAATTCATCCTCGTCGTCATCATTCCCTACCGATTCCTGGTCGTCGCCATCTCCCCCCTCGGGATCGTTTTCATCCAAGGCCCCAAGCATATCTGGAAACTTTTTAAAAATATCTTTCAACTCATCAATGCCTTCATCAGAAATGAAATTTCCATTGATGTTCAGCAGCACAAAACCAGGCTTCTGAACTACAGTCTGAGCTAAAACCCGAGCCCCCGCCCTCCGAATCAAGTTAGTATTCATGTCAATTTCCTTTATTTTGATGTGACCGTCTAGTGCCTTACTAATCTGGATAGTTCCTTCATCCTTCAGTTCATTTTCACCCAAATTCAAGCTGGTCAGATGGGGCTTTTGAGCTATGCAAGCAGCTAATGCAGAAGCAGCTTCAGCTGTTATGTCATTTCCAGCCATCTCCAAGACTTCAAGTGCAGGAGCAGTGTCCTTCAGTACATTGGCTATGGTAATTGCACCTTCATCTTCCAAGTTCAGGTAGCTCAAATACAACTCCTTGAGATCTGTATGGGATGAAAGGGCTTTACTCAGAGCAACTCCACCTTCCACTCCAAACATGTTGTCTCGGAGGTCAAGTTTCCTCAAGTGGGTACAAGTCCCGAGTGCTAAAGATAAGGCAACTCCCCCCTCAGAGTCTATCCTCGTAGAGGAGCAACGAAAATCTTCCAATAGAGGAGAACGCTTTACAACCTCGGCAATGGCAAGAGCCCCTTCATCGCCTGTCATGTTATTATGAAAATGAAGGATCCTTAGCTTATCTGTTGAAGGAATCAACTCGGATACCGCCTGAGCAGCTTCCTTGGAAATGCCATCATTCATCAAATATAGCTCCTCTAAACAAGTCTGTGATTTCAGGAGAGAGCCAAAAGCTCGAACACCCTTTTCACCCAAGGCATTGTTTGAGAGGTTAAGGGACCTCAAGATGCTGCCTTCTAAAGCATCTGAGAACAATTTCATGACCTCTAGAGCTTCTGCCTCTGGTCTTCCAGCAATAAAATCAGAGAGATCCACTTCTTTTAACTGATTTTTAAGGGACACCAAAATGGACTCAGTAACACGAGCTGCTTCTAAACCAAAGCTTCGGTTGCTGAAACATATCTTGGTATAATAATTTCCTGGCTCTTTCAAAGGCTTTAGAAGTTCTTCAGCTTCCTCTGCCTCGATAAAGGCTCGTCGACCTTTTGAGATGTCGAAAAAGACTTCACGAGGAGCACTAGTGGTATCGGATTCAGCCTCCTTGCCTGCCTCGACTTTAGGACCTCTCTTAAGAACCTCGAGAAGAAGCCTGCTGCATTCCTTGGCATAAAGTTGCACAGCAGCACCCCCATCACCATCTGGCTGCTTTTCATAATTCTGATTAGCTGTAGCAAAAGCAATATCTTCAATTCGCTTTGACTCATCTGCGGCCTCTTCCAGACTAAGAGTACCATATTTTTGGGTGAAAAAGGATTGGCTGGTAAGGTTATTTGTCATCCGCTCCACAAGCATTTTCCGAGTATTTTCACTAGGAGGCCACAATTTGATAGAAAATGGCCTACGTTCCGAATTTGTGGTTACAGCGTCCATAATCAAAAGTGCTCAAAACCCAGCCGCCTAAGGCAAATAAAAGGAAACTTCGACTTATAAGGGATATAGGAATTTGAAAATAACAGAAGTGTGTAGTTACCTAGCACATCCTAGTCACTAGTCAGAGAGACACAATGTATGAACCAAACATATTACACTTGTCAGCGCAGAAGCGGAGCTATTTACCAATTTTTTTCACTTCCACCAAGCAATCAGTCTTATCATTCTTGGAGTCCAAACAGTAGAGACAAACAAATATTCAACTGAACTTTGCAAGATACAAGATAAACAAGCAAAGATCCAGTAGTTCAATATTGAAAACAGATGGTAGTCAAACCATTTCAAGATGGCTCCCCTTCTCCTCCACAATAAATCAAAGAAACAAGAAGCAGTTCGGTATGCATATCAGGATAAACAGCGGGCACCCACAAGTAAAGGTGCACTCCACTACCCCATTCCATATCAGAACAAATCCAAATCCATCTCCTGCCGTGACTCTTCCCTCACAAATTATCACTCTATATTATCCCTAAACAACAGAACGGAATCCAACAACAACATAGAAATGACAATAAAAACACTACCCGAAGCCGGTAAATGCGAAATACACTTCAAGTGAAGCAGAAAAAGGATAATGTCAAAGAGATTTAAGGACATCAACCATGGATCTAACACAAGACGAAGCTTGAAACACATAAGAAAATAAAGCAAACCCAGAAACACAAACAAGCAACAAAAATGGAAGAAATAAGAAAACCCTAGCAATGAAAAGAAGAGAAAAGAACCGTTCTATTGTTCACCTGCTGGAGATGTACGGAAGGCGTAGTGCGCGACGGTGAAGAAGCGGAGAGATGATGTAAGGGAACAAAAACCGGAAGAGAGGGAGAGGGAAAAGAGGGAAATTTGGATTATAAAGTGTTTGTGGGGGGAAAAGGCAAATGGGTCGGCTTTGGATGACGGCCTGTGTTTTGCGTCCAATTGGCGGTACTCCAACGGAGGAGTTCGGCAAATTTGAATTTTCATTTTTTTTTTATTTTTTTTTTAATTTAAACTTTCAATTCTTTTTTAATCATTTACCAATATACTCCTCATTGTTATTGCAGAAGAAAATGATTATTCCTCGCTTAACTTCTCAGAAATAATAATAATAATAATAATAATAATAAAAATGTCTCACTTTATTAAAAATAAGTTATAGCAAATAGTGATTTTTGAACTTTTACTTTCCCGCTTCCCTTCAAAGTTTTAAAATGTGTCTTATAGAGAGAGGTTTCCATACACTCATACATTTTAAAATAATATGTCTTCTAAATAGAAGTTTCCACACCATCACATAAAATATTTCGTTCTCCACTCCAACCCATATAAAATCTAGCGATAAATAAAGATAAGTAGAGAATTGAGTCATCAACCAATAAGATATTGACAATATATTGTTAATTTCATAATAAAATAATGTTTTTTTTATTAGCAGCAAAAGCTAAATATTTTCAAAATTAAAGGAAAAAAAATAGAAATAAAGATAAATAACAGTTTGTGGGGTAAAAGGCAATGATGAGAAATTGGATATGATTTATGATGAAAATAAAGAAATAAAGAAATTAAATCTGACAAAAATGAAAAAAAAAAAAAAATGTAATATTCTCTCCTTTTTATGGATTCCATAATTGAGCAGAGGAGCATGTGCATGTGGGTGCTGCTCTTACACATCTTTATCTTATCTCCAACAGACTCAAATCTCTTCCATCATTTCAAACATAAAAAATTTCAAATTCTTTTTAAACTCTTTAGAACATATCATCCATCCAAACAAAAGCCTGTTAAACCCCTGAAGTAGATGTTACTGCTTTCAAATTTACAGAGTTCTCCAATTAAATGATGCATCTTCACCAGAGCTTAGTGATTTGGGAAGATACATCAATTTTATAAAAATAAATGCAATGCATTTCAGGGATAAGATTCTGGGGAGGACGACTAAGACAATTCTATCTAGCAATGGTATTACTTAAGACTTTATACAAAATATCAAAACCCTTGCCATTAGAAGAAGAAAAAAAAAATAATAATAACCAAAGGATCATGAGCCATAAAACAAATTTACTAATTCGAACCTCGATCTAGCTCGCAGCAGCAACCAAATCCACCACTATCTGTACATCGTGTTTTTTGGTTAGAGATGATGACTATAGGCACGGTGCAGATATCTACAGCCGTGAGCTGTGGAGGTTGTTAGCCTTGGTCAAGGCTTTGGCAAAATAATTGCGGATCTCGGGAAGTATGCGCTGAATTAGATGAGAGTGCCTGCAAAGTATTGGCATGAAGAATGGCTTAGAATATGCAGGGAGAAAGAAACCATGCTGTTCCATCCATGGTTTCTTTAGGTGCGGCATCGATAAATGATCATGTCTATAACTTACATCTCGCTTTAATAATCTTAAGTAAGAGCTTCATACTGATTCTCTCCATTTAAAGCTAGCATGGAGGGATCTAAATCTAAAAGTTTAACTCCCTTTAAAGCTATAATTTGTGAAAAGTTCTTAAAAGTTTCGTTAACTGCAGAAAAACTCGAAAGGTTTAAAATTCAAGCTGAAGAAGGGTAAGAGGTTTGGAGGTACACACCCCGGCATTGCACCGAGTTTTTCGAATTGTTCCAAGATAAAAAGGATGCACGTGTGCCTCAAAGATATGGCATTGAAGGCTTCTGAAAGTTCATACATGCTTGAAACATTCTCCAATGATATATCCTGGCAGAAGTTTTAAAATTAGCGTATATATCATATATATGTATAATAAGAGTTACATAACAAGCAAATGAGAAATATCAGAAAACAAAATTAAAATTTAGTCATTCTTAGCTCACCTGTGCAATGGTATATTCGCACAATCGTTTAAGTCCCTCCAAGAGATACTGATCGGCAGCTCTCAGGAGATCTTGTGCGATATCCAACGAAACATCCACAGATCCAGTGTAAACAAATCTGTATGATCAATTCAGTTAATTAACATAATACTACGTGCATTCATATGCTGATAACTTTTGGAACTCAAACTTCGCAAACCTCATCATTAGCTCAAAAACTTCCCATCTAATATTTGGAATTTCTATATCCTTTGCATCCTTTTCCTGAAATGCATATTAAAAGCAATCAGTGAAATTGAGCATTCTGAAGACTATGTCCCCAATTAAACTAGATACAAGGCTGACAATTAGGTTTGAACACATTTGGGAAGCTCACCCGATAGCCACCATCAAACATAGCACGGAATGCATCTGAAGAAGCAAGCAAGCAAATTCTGTGGGCATGGAAGCGTCTACCTGCAAAAGTCAAAGGGAAAAACCAAAAGTTGAATAAGGTCTTTTGAAAAGTAATAAATCATAAGCAGTTAGGAACATGACAAAAAACAAGCGACCTTCAACAAGAAATGTCACATCAGATAGTGTCGGATTGTTCACATACTGCTCACCCAGGTAAACCTGTATGAAATATGTCAGAATTACAGTGATAAAGGGAATAGTATAGAAATTATAGATCCTATGCTCAATTTTTCAGGTCATAAAATTAAAGAAGAGAACAAATACTTCAAACTCTCAGAAACTGAAACAGATATTTGAGGGATCATACATTTGGCCACTAACTCAAAGGCTCAAGGGCCATAATTCTCAATGTTGCCAATTCACTTTCACCCTTTCACAAAGTCCGGTTTTCATTCTCAAGCCTATGTGTAAGCATATATCAACCATGTATGTTGGAAGGGTAGTAAATCTACGAACATCCTACCTGTGGTGTTGGGGATGGTGGAGCAGCATCTACAGGAGAAAGAGTCATGGCCTTATTTGCAAGCTTGTAAAGCGCAACAGCACCATCAAGCTGCTGCTTGAGACTTGAAGAACCAAGCAGGCCAAGAAGCAACTCCAGACCTGCAAAATACAAAAGCCTTTATTCTACAATAAAATCTCCATTCACTAGTAACAAGCTGATCTCCAACTGCATCCTCAAAGAAGAAGAAAAAAATAATGAAATTCTAAAAATATGGCATGCCATTGTTGTCGACAAATATAGTCCTCTGATCATCGGGTGAACAAAGATGAGCAAGAGCAAGAGAGACTCGTCTTTGCACAGCCTTCTCTGCTACACGCATTAGATGTAACAAGTGATTTAAAACCTAAGCAAGGAAAATAAAGTATTAAATTTGGAAAGTGTCCATACTGACAAGTGAACAGACTAGAACATCAGGCAAGTCAAAGTCCAAAAACAAAATCAGTGAAGTCATACTCACCCTTCCATGTATCTTCTCCTCTAATCTCTTGAGTGTCTTTGCTACACAATCTTTTGTTGCCTGAAACAAAATTGCCAATTAATTTAAGCCGTGATGGAGCAAGTCAGTGAGGAGGCACCACTACTGAATGAGAAACTGTGGATAACCTCCAATAATACACACAAAATACACTAAAATGAGAGAAAGAAGGGGTGGGGGTATTGAACAGTTCCAACTAGATAGATAAGGAAGGTTAAGTTACTTGCACTATAAATTCTCCATCTTGCAGCTTCTGAACTCCTCCCACTCTAATAAAATCAGATACATTATCCTACAGAAGAAAATCAATAATTACAGTTTATATAAAATTATGATTACAATCGTTCAGTTAGGCAGTGGGATTATGTGCAGCAATGCATCCTCAAGTTTATATAAATATTATAAGCAATATACCTCATTATCTGCAAGACCATAAAGAGCAAATGCCGCATTGTGTTGCAAAGAACCATTTTTTGAATCAAGAAGCTTCAGTAATGGCATTAGACCACCATTATGAGCGATACCAGCTTGATTGTGAGTTTCCTGAAAATATAAGTTTTTTTCCTCAGATTCAGCCAAGAAATTCACAAGACCCCGTCATTCAATCCTAAGAACAATCACAAAGAAAAAATAAAAAATGGAACCAGGAGAAGAGGAAAATCTTTGTAAAGAATTATAAAATCTTTGGAAATAGCCCACCAGGTGCTATTTTTAATGGAAGATAAAAGTCTAAACTATAGTACCTGTGCCAACCTCCCCAATGCAAAAGCTGACATTTCTCGTAGTTGAACATCAGGTGATTGAAGCATCTCAATTAAGGGTCGAACAGCACCCCTCTGCACAATGTGAATCTGCAAGTGTTTGATTTGTTCAGTAAGAAAGTTAAAAAAAGAAGGATACGTAACAGAAATTAAAGGGTGGATGTATCTTTTGTTATAAAAACAAATATTTAAGTATATAATGGTACATATACACAGCACTTTTGTAAAGTGAATAATTTTCCCCTTCCTAAGCAATAAAATAGGAGGATACATATTCCCACCTCTTTTTTCAAACTTGTTACCATGAAACAATAAATAAACTTTTATTCACCTTGCAATCTGAATCAGTTGCCGCAAATTGTCCAAGTAATAAAGCTGCCTCCCTTTGGCTCTCAGAGCAGCACGAACTAACACAAAAGGGAAATGATTAACATAATTTAGACTAATGGAGATCAACTTTGTCTTCACGGCATAATTAGTTCTGATTGGCAGAGCAACAAAGGTAAATTGAAAATTTGAGAAGATAAGCACAAAACGTGTTGAAGCAGAAATATACAAAATACATGACATGATTCCTGAAGTTACATCTAATGAAGCGGTAAAAAAACAAAAGACGTGACAAGAATCCTGAAGGTCAGAATACCTGAGTAATCCAATAACAGGTTGCAAAGCTCCAGCAAGAAGAACTTCTCTCTTTATATTTGGGGACGAGTGCACCAAATTTCCAATAACACCAACCTAAAATCACAAAATCCATATATTATAGAAAGTCAATTAAAGTTATCAATTCATTAAAAAGCAAGAAATTTTCAAGTTTGTCACATAGATAACATCCTACCGCTTCATAATGTATAGCAGCATCCTCCGACCGAAGCATCAAAATGAGTGTAGGGAGTGCATTACACTCGACA